GGAATTGAAGCTTGAAAATTTGCCAAACCTCAAAAGTTTCTGCTATGGTAATATTGGTGGATCCAAAGAAGAAGAAGAAGAAGAAGGTGGTGGTAAGACCTTGGTGTTTCCTCAATTATACACTATAAGACTTGAAGAGTTGCCAAAGCTCAGCGGTATCTGCTGCTCAAGAAGAGGTGAAGAAGAAAGTGTACTGAAGGACATTAATATTCCCCAACAACAAGCTGATCTCTTCAACTACAAGGTACACACGCACCTGTTTCCTTGATTAATGATTTGGTGCACTCAAACAACTGAAAATTTTAAAATGGATTTCAATTAGATTTCCACTTAACCTTATGTTTTGGTGGCTTTGTGTTACTTCGTCAACTGAAATTATTGATGGATTTTGGCACATCAATTACGTCCATCTATTTATATGGCAGAGCCTCAAAAGTCAAAAGCCGAGTCTCAAATGAATTCCAATAGATAATATGCAGTTATTGAGAATAATTTTATTTACCTATAGAACATAAAATGGAATTACAACTGAAAACTAGAATGTGCTTAACTAGTGATTGATTTCTGCAAGCAGGTTGAATTTCCTATCTTGAAGAATTTGGAACTAGGTGACGGAAGCATCTTTGGAGGTATTTGGAAAAATGGGTCCAAAGTAGGATCCATGAAGGTGGAAAAATACAACAACTTAGTGAATGCTTGTACCCTGCTAAAGTGGTTTGAGATTGTTGAAAAACTCAGTCTGGAATCTTGTGACTCATTGGAGGTTATCTTCAACCTTGAAGGACTTGGTGCCATTGAAAGAAAGGCAATTGTGTCTTCTCAAGCAAAAAAATTGAGACTCTGGGATTTACCTAAATTGGATCGTATTTGGATAATGGAATCTCAGGGGCTTTTGGTGTTTCACAACGTAACACTTTTGGTAGTTTATAAATGCAACAGCCTTAGGTATGTGTTCTCACTCTCAATAGCAAGAGGTCTCACACAACTCAAAAAACTACGTATTTTTCAATCCTCAATGGTAAGTCTGATGTTTAATTATCTTATATTGTACTTAAATTCCTTTTTTGTTTTTTTGGTTAGTGTATAGCGGACCTAACTTGTCTTGAACTTTTTAAATTCTTAATAATTATTTATTTATTTATTTATTAATCAATTCATGAGTTGTTTTTATATGATTATTTTATCAAATTTTTTCTTTGAAGAAAATGAAAGGAATGGAGCTTCAACCTTTTGCAGTTTATTTTTTTCAATTAATATAGTTCCTTAATAAATGTGGTAGGAGCAAAAGTAGTGTCTATAGTTGGTTATCCATTTATTAATCAATTCATGAGTTGTTTTTATATTATTATTTTATCAAATTTTTTCTTTGAAGAAAATGAAAGGAATGGAGCTTCGACCTTTTACAGTTTATTTTTTTCAATTAATATAGTTCCTTAATAAATGTAGTAGGAGCAAAAGTAGTGTCTATAGTTGGTTGTTAAAAATAACATGTTATCCATTAATTTATTTTTTACCTTTCATACTTCAAAAACCACGAAGATTGCATTGAATTTATTTTCATTGTCTCTAAATGCAGTATTGCGGCAAAAAGCAACTAGTACTTCTTCACTTTATTATTATCAATAAAAAATAAAATAAAAAAGAATGAAAAAAAGAGGGAGAGAAGAAAGAAAGAAACCCTAGAAATGGGGTTTTGGATATCAAACTGTCTCGGCCATGAAAGCTGTTTTTCATCACTTCATAAAACAAGATGAAACAAGAAACAGTTGCTTCGATATTCATGACATCAAACGAGAAATGAACAGGAAAACATAGAAAAAGGAGAGGCAATAGAAATGTTTTGGAGGCAAAAAAAGTCATGTGATTATGATATCATGGAAAATCTGTTCTCTACAATAACAGGATCAAGATCATTATATTCTAGCCTAGTATACACCACCAACATCCATTTGAAGCCCTATTTATAGTGCATCATTTCTATATCGAAGTCTTCCAAAAACCACCAAACAAGCAGCTAGTACTCGCACTCTCAAGCAAAAGCTGCTTTTTTCTTCTTCTTGTTTGAATGAGGCCTCGGAACTTGTTCACTTATCATGAGAAGGTAAATTAAGGGAAAGATCGAGTGATACTGGGAATTCACCACCATCATTGTTTTTCTTGCTCGCCACAGAACTTGGAACCTTGTCTTGGTTGTGCTTCTCTTCCACAATCCCAAGAAATGAAGGCCTGAGTCGCTGCGTTGTCAAATTTTTTGCAGCCCCTAATAAAAGTTGAAGATCTAAAAACTCAAACCCAGCTGATCCTTGTAATCTGATGACATAACTTGCGATTTTGAGGACATGCCACCCACTGGACCTTGACTTGCTGAAACTCCTTGCCTTCTCTCAGTAACTTCATGTTCTTTTGGCAGTTCGAACAAGTAGAAAATAGCACCGACTTTACAAACTCAGGGAAGAATATTTAAGGTTTGAAATTTTAGCATTGATAGATGATTATAATAGTGTGAGAATATACATGCACCAATCCTAAGCCACCAGCCAAATAGATTGGGCTCAAGTCATTTTCTGCCATTCAACTTTATTACAACATGTACCGGCATACTTCACTAAATCATAGGCCAAAATGCCTCTTGCTATTAACATTGTTTATTCATTTCCCTTTTGTTTTTTCGCGAGTGCAGACACACAACTCAACACACACACCCCCATTACGCCCCAGTGGAGACTTGAACCCTCAATTCTTTTTACATTCTATGGAACACGTTTTCTGCTGCCAAGAATTCCATTTTGTTTAGCATAGTTACTTTTTAGCCATTTAGTAGATTTCAGTTTATTTTTTCAAATCTTAAACATACCGTACATACCACAACAGCAGCGCTTCTCCACTGTCAATTTTGTTTCTGTTTTATGAAATTACATCTCTTCAGTATATGATGTTCCAAAAAAGTTGCTTAAAAAGAGAGAGAGAGAGTGTGTGTGTATTATGGGCCCAACTCTTTTCACTATGCAAATACATTCCCACGGCATTCCACATAATTTAACACAAGAACTTTGAATTCTGAATCAATTACATAATTATAATCAGAAAACCAAGAACATAAGAAAAACAACTTATTCCAACCCATAAGAACACCTCATAAGAAAAACAACTTATTCCAACCTGCCAAAAACATAACATACAACTGAGAAAATGCCAATGCATAAGCTTGCATGCGTTTGACAATCTTAAATAAAATCAAAAAGCATGAAGATTAAGCCTTACACTGGGAGTTTTCAGGAAGAACATTGGATGAAAATATTAAAAGTCCAATTCCATCAAATTTCCCTACAAGAGCTAAATCATAATTGATCATGCACTCTAACATGCTCTTATAATTTCTTCCATAGCTGCAAGAAAGGTATATGAAAAGGTTAAAAAATAAGTCTGAAAGGAAGATGGCACCTATAATGTGTATAAGGAAAAACAAATATGCCATCCCTGTGATGAGGATATGATGAGCTCTGCGAAGAGAGAGATGGCTGGGTTCGGCTATGAAGATGGAGATGGTTGGGTCTTGCATGAAGATGGAGATGATAGCAGCAACGAGGATCCCCGGTGGCGGCACAGCGGGTCGCAGAGATCAGATCCGAACCGATTCAGCTTTGGAGACCGCCGATCTGTTCTCTATTGTTACTCTCTAGGGATGAACGGGGATGAAGGTTGTTAAAATTAGATTAATGCCATGTTCATTCATGTATATGTTCATTCATGCATCTGTTATTGTACATGTATCAAGTGTGTACATGTATCAAGTGAGTGCATGCATCATATGTGTGGTTGAGAATTGTCTTGAAAAGTTCAAAGGTCTATGGGAGAATAGTATATATAGTATAAGGGATTTGTTGTTAAGGCATATTGTAACGACCCTAGCTGATGCCAAGAATTTTACAAAAAATTCGGCATAACCTCCCCTAAAAATAGGCCTACCATACCCTGTTTAAATTCATTTTTAACCTATCATGGCTCAAATTCTGAATTCACGGCAACAGTATATGATCATACACAATCAAATAACACCGATAATTACTTTAACTAAAATTATCCTTCCCATTCATCAACAAGGTTACATGACAAAGTTTTACAAAATATACATATATACCTTTATACTTTTAGTGCTTTGCAAAAATAATGGGAAATATACAAAAGACACAAAAGTAAGCTTCTAGTATCGCTCAAGCTTGAGGTGGGTTGTCGTCCACCGATTCTTTTCCAAGACCTGAAAAAAATGTATAAATAGTAGGGTGAGCTATATGCTCAGTAGGTGACACTTAAGACACAAATCTTGTGTCCTTGTGAATTCAAGCAAAGCATAGGCCAATGGGAGATAGGGATCATACAACGTAGGGGATCAAATACAACATACAAGTCAATTCCAAGTATAAACGATACAATGCAATGAAATGACATGCAATGCATGACACTCCCCATTTTCATTCTCAAAATCATCACTTTCAAACGTTAATACAGCCCGCCCTTTGGTAACCCCGCCGCGACACGAAAGGAGGATTGGCTAGTGTCCATGACCCATGGTAACCCCGCGGCGTCATTATGGGGCCCAGCTAGCTCAACCACGCTAGGGCGACTCCCTAGTCCCCTCTAGGCTATATTAACCTCCGGCCCGTTGGTAACCCCGCAGCGACCGGGTTTCGCATAAAACCATTTTATCAAAAACACTTCCCTGAAATTCCCCATATTTATTTCAAGAAAAATTTCTCCCATTTCATGCAAACCCAATGGTATGTGCATGTATATATGTTCCATACATTCAATGTCATGGCATTTAAAATTTTCCATCATAAAATTAAACATTCAACATGTTCAACATCTCCCAAGTAATTATTAACACATTAAGATACAACAAAATACATTTAAGCATGTGCATGTATATATATATATGAGCTCAACATCATGAATTGGGAAATTTGGCGCAATTTAAATAAGCATACTCTCATACATCAATTTCAGCATGCTAGCACATAGTAAACATAGGAAATCAACAACTAAATATAATTTGCACATGAACCAACCATATTCAAGATCGTGAAAACCCTCTAGACATCATTAATACCATCATAGATATAATTAACTCTAAATTAAGCATATTTAATCCAACATGGAGGTAAAATTCACAATAGAACAAGACTAGAGTGGATTAAGATGCCCCTACCTCAAAATAGGCAAAACCCTAGAAATGGGTTTAAATTTTTTTAGCTCCAAGGAAGGTAGCAAAATTGGAATTGCTGGTACTAGAACGTAGAGCTCGTCACACTCGCCGTTTTGCCTCAAACGGCACCTAAATCCGGCAAGTAATGAAGATGGAATCAAAGCTTGAAGATTGGAACCAAAAAAGAAAAAAAAAAAGGAGGAGTTTTGGACGAGAGAGATAACCTTGCGGGAATGAGAAAAAAAAAATGAAAGCAAAGATGGTCTCATGACCATTTAAATGCTTGTGGGTCCCACTCATTAACTTTTCTTTTCTCTTTTTCTTTTTCATTTAAATTACACCACACACACTAATAGATACAGACATCACATTCTTCCCAACTTTAAAAGATTTCGTCCCCGAAATCAAGACATACCTGAGGAAGAAAACAACACTGGATACTTGGAGCAAACCTCCTGTTCAAGCTCCCAAGTAGCCTCCTCGACTCTGTGGTGTCTCTAAAGGACTTTCACCATTGGTATCGTCTTGTTCCTCAACACCTTCTGCTGTGTGTCAAGAATCTGAACTGGTCCTTCCTCGTAGGAAACATCCTCATCAATGTCCACATTAACCCAACTCAAAATGTGAGATGGATCTGGCTCGTACTTCCGTAACATCGATACATGGAAAACATTGTGGACCCTATCCAACTGTGGTGGCAAAGCAAACCTGTAGGCAACCTCTCTTACTCGGTCCAAAATCTCAAACGGTCCAATAAATCGTGGCGACAACTTGCCACTTTTTCCGAATCTCATCAATCCCTTCCGTGGAGAAACCCGTAGAAAAACGTGGTCTCCCACCTCAAAGGATACCTGTCGTCTCCGCTTATCCGCATAGCTCTTCTGTCGACTCTGAGCTGTAAGTAACCTCTGTCTTATCAACTTAATCTTCTCAGTAGTCTCGAGTACAATGTTAGGTCCTAAGGCGGCTGTCTCACCTACCTCAGTCCAACAAACAGGAGACCTACAAGGTCTACCATACAACGCCTCAAATGGAGCCATCTGGATGCTCGCCTGATAACTGTTGTTGTAGGCAAACTCAATAAGTGGAAGGTGATCCTCCCAACTACCTCCCAAATCAAGTACACATGCCCGAAGCATATCCTCCAAAATTTGGATAGTACGCTCCGACTGACTGTCCGTCTGTGGATGGAATGCCGTACTAAGATGCAACGCTAAACCAAACGCTACTTGAAGTCCTTCCCAGAACTTCGAAGTGAACTTAGCATCCCTATCTGACACAATGGTTACAGGAACTCCATGCAACCTTACAATCTCCTTCACATAAAGAACACCAAGCTTCTCTGCATCATCTGTTGCCTTAATAGGCAAAAAGTGACCGTCTTGGTCAATCTGTCAATGATGACCCATACGGCCTCATTGCCCCTCCGTGACCTTGGAAAACCTGTCACAAAATCCATAGCAATATGCTCCCATTTCCATTGCGCTACAGGTAATGGTTGCAACAAACCAGCTGGCCTCTGATGCTCGGCCTTCACCTGCTGACAGGTAAGGCATCTAGCCACAAACTGTGCAACATCATTCTTCATCCCGCTCCACCAATACTGACGTCTCAAATTGTGATACATTTTAGTACCACCTGGATGAACTACAAAACGGGAAGTGTGAAACTCCCGTAGGACATCCTCACGACAAACTGTGGGAACCACCAACAAACCCCTGAACCGTAGACCCCCATCTGCATGCAAGGCCCAATCTTTCACTGTCTCACCACTAGAGATCAAAGCGTGGATGGTATCTAAGTCCGGGTCCTGTCTCTGTGACTCAATCACTTGTACAACAAGAGTAGGCTGAGCCACAAGACTAAATAAGAATGCCGACTCACTGTAACCATCATCATCAAAACACTGTAATCCCATCTCTGCCAGATCTTTAAGCATCTTCCACTTCCGAATAGCTAAACTGGCCAAAGTTCCACGAGATTTTCGGCTTAAGGCATCAGCTACAACATTTGCCTTGCCCGGATGATACTGCAAATCAAAGTTCTAATCTTCCACGTACTCAACCCATCGTCTCTGTCTGTTGTTCAAGTCCTTTTGGGAAAAAAGGTACTTGAGACTTTTATGATCCGAGTATACCTCGAATCTCTCACCATACAACTAATGTCTCCAACACTTCAAGGCAAACACAACTGCCGCTAACTCCAGATCATGAGTAGGGTAGTTAAGCTCGTGAGTCTTCAACTGTCGAGACCCATAAGCCACTACTCTACCATCCTGCATCAACACACATCCCAACCCGTCACGTGAAGCATCACAATAGATCACATAACCCAAGCCTCGCTCAGGTATCACCAACACTGGAGCTGTAGTCAATCTCGTCTTCAACTCCTGAAAAGATGAATCACAGGCCTCATTCCAGACAAACTTGACCCCTTTCCGGGTCAAACGGGTCATAGGAGCTGCCAAACGGGAGAAATCCTTCACAAATCTCTGATAGTAACCCACTAAACCAAGAAAACTGCGGATCTCAAACACATTCTTGGGTCGCTCCCAAGTCAAAACTGCTTCAACCTTTGATGGATCAACTGATACTCCACCTTCTGAAACAACATGCCCCAAAAACTTCACCTCCTGTAGCCAAAACTCACATTTCTCGTATTTGGCATACAATCGGTGTTCCCGCAAAATCTGTAAAACAATACTCAAATGGACCTCGTGATCTTCCCGAGTCCGTGAGTATATAAGAATGTCATCCACGAAAACTACCACAAACTGGTCCAAGTAATCGTGAAAGACGCGGTTCATCAAGTCCATGAATGCCGCTGGCGCATTAGTCAAGCCAAAAGGCATAACAAGGAACTCATAGTGTCCATACCGTGTACGGAATGCTGTCTTCGGGATATCCTCATCCCTAACCCGCAACTGATAATAGCCAGACCTCAAGTCAATCTTCGAGAAACAACTGGCTCCCCTCAACTAATCAAATAAATCATCTATCCTTGGCAAAGGATACTTGTTCTTGATGATGGCATGATTCAACTTCCGATAATCAATGCACAACCTCAACGAACCATCTTTCTTCTTAGCAAACAAGACCGGTGCGCCCCACGGTGACACACTCGATCGGATGAAACCTTTCATCCTCAAGTCATCAAGCTGCCTCTTCAATTCTTCCAGTTCAACTGGTGCCATACGATACGGTGCCATAAAAATCGGCATTGGTATACAATTAAAGTACTAAAATTAAAGAGAGCTTACAGATGGTCCTTAAGCAACTTCAAATTTTTTTTTAATTGCTTCTAAGTCCAGCGTTTGCTCCACTTTGCTTCAAGTACCTAATTGACAAATCAAATAAAAAAAAATTAAAAATTAAAATGACTTAAAAGTAGACAATCAACAAAGAACTAATGTTTAATTCAATTCTTCAAAACCGTTAGATCCCCGGCAACGGCGCCAAAACTATGGTGCGACCGAGCGTGTGCACAAAATAATGCACAACACTTTAGGTTTAGAAATAATGTCAAGTGGGCACCATATTTTAAAATTTATAAAACCACTAAACACTTATACTATGGAGTATGAAGTGAGTAGGGATCGTCCCAAGAGATCTAAACAATTATAGGTTTTCCAGAATTGAATTCTACTTTAGTGCTTATGTGATTGCCAAAAGGGTTTTGTTTGTGATTAAAACTAATTTTAAACTAAATGATTGCAATAAAGAAATAGAGTTTAAGAGATTGGAAAGAGACTTAGGGTGTAGGATTCACCACTAAGCACATTCCCTAACTCACTCACTTTCAACTAATTGAGGAAATAATACTATGTAATCTATATGTGGCTAACAAGTGCAATGAAAAGTGTAAACCATCAATTTCAAGCATGAATCAACTACCTAATGACAATTAAACTAAGTGTAGTGAATTCACCCATTCAAAGCATGATTTATCAATCCAAGTTACAAATTTAACACACATTAATCTAGAAGATAATGCAATTGTGACAAAAAGTATGGAATTCAAACATAAGTATGGATGGTCTACTTACCTAATAATTGAATTGCAATTAAATTAATTAAACTTAAATTAAACTAATTAAACATGAATTTAAAACTAATTAGACAACAAATTAACCTAAACATGTAGTACTATCCATCAAATGGAAGCATTTTTCATCAATTTGAAACACAATTACAACTAAGCAATACCATGCATAGCCATCACAAGAATCAATTAACAAAGAATTCATGTGTAAAATTTGTTTATCAATCAACCACACCTAAGACAATATGAGATTAATACAGATAATCAATTGGAATAATTTAATTCATAATATTCAAGACTATACACTAATTACATAAATTAATCCCCAAAAAGTATGAAAAGAGAGAGAGAATAGGTTACATGCTTAGGGTTTATCCAACCCTAAGTAGAAGAATCAGCCACTCATGGTTGATGGAGTCGAAGACAGGACAATCCCCATCATCTGCTTCATCTTCTCTGAACTTTTCTTCCAAACCCTAGCCTGTTCTTCCTTTTTCCCTTTCTTCGCGTGTTTTTCCAGAGAGAAAATACGATACTACGATACAGAAAAATAAATCAATTAAAACTCTCTCTTTTTTTTTTCTCTAATAATTTTTACCTAAATAAAAACTAAAACTAACCCTAATCTAATGGCTCACTGGGCCTTAAGTAACAATCTCATTAAAGCCCAACAGTTCCCAAAATGAGCCCAAAAATTAAATAAAAACTGTAATGTTGCTAAGTCCTGGGGGATCGATCCCCCACCTTGGGGATCGATCCCCCCAGAGTTGAAAATTTCCTTTAAGCCCTATTTAGCTCCATTTTAGCCCCGAACTCATTAGTTTGCTTCTTCATCTTTGGGAACACCATCAAAAGCCTGAGATTGACCACTTTTGAAGAATAAACACACTATACGAGCAATGGGCTGCGACCTCCTTTTTGCCATTTTCTGAGCTTTTTCTGAATATCTTTGCTTGACTCTAAAAAGGCTTTAATGGACCGTTCTTAGCTCAGTTTAACTTTATTGCCCTGAAATACACATAAACATAAATTAGGACTAAAACATGAAATTAAGATAGCTACAACGACTGAAATACCCTAACTTAGGTGCTAAAATGTGCAATATTTAAGCACTTATCAGCGGTACCTGGCATTAACTCAATAGAAAACTCCACTTCTCGGTGTGGAGGCAACTCTGTCAAATCTTCTGGAAAAACATCCAAGAAGTCACAAACAATCGCCGGATAAACTTCTCCCACGACATCATCTTCTTCGGCTAGAAGACTAGCTAAGAAATAATCACTATAACTTCGTCCACGAACTCCATAAAACGATGAAATGTGGGAATCACTCCGATCTCCCACGAAAAAGAAACAGTCTCCCTCGGGAGTGCAAACTGTAACCCTTCCTCTGAAACAGTCGATCGTGGCATGAAATGAAGCCAGCCAATCCATCCCGAGAATGACATCAAAGCTAGTCATCTCCAGGAGGATAAGGTCAAACACGAAAGTCCGCCTGACTATCACAATGGGACACTCCCGCACAATTCGGCTCAAAGATACTGAAACCCCAACTGGCGTATCAACACTCAACGCCCGTTCCAAGAAACTAACTTCCAACCCCGATGCAAGTGCAAATGATGATGAAATGAAAGAATGAGATGCACCAGAGTCAAATAAAACACGGGCCCAACAACCAAACACTGGAAATATACCTCGAAGGACTGACGGTCCAGAAGATGCATCAGTCTGTGCCAGTGCAAAAACACGTCCCTGTGGTACCTGTGCCTGAGGACTGCCAACCTGAACACCTGACTGCTGCACTGACATAGTAGGAGTATCCCTCCTAACTGATAGTGAACCCTGTGAAGACATAGTAGACTATGGTGGTGGTGGTCTAAAACCTGACTGAACTGTAGCCGATTGTGACGGCCTCTGCTGTGACCCTCTGCCACTAATGGTGCCTGCTCTCTAACTCGGACAATCACGAATCAAGTGACCCTGCTGGCCACACCCATAACAAGCCTTCGGAGCCGACGAAACTGAAGACGATCTCATCGGACAACTGGACTTGTAATGTCTGGGCTGCTGACACTGATAACAAATAACTGCACTCCTGTCAGATCCAGCTGGCATAGGAGTGGTAGGAGCAGATCTTGTAGACTGTTGCCCTTGAAACTGAGATGGACTGCCCCTGTTCCTTTTCCAAGAAGATCCCTCTGAGGATAGCCCTGCACCCCTCTTTTGCTTCAATTGCTCTCTTCTTGCATCCTTCTCTCTATTATCAGCCTCCAGCATCAAAGCCCTTTCCACTGCTTCAGAGTAAACCTTAATAAACTGTGACGTGATCAACGGCCTCATTCGATCATTAAGACCTGAGACAAACTTCCGAGTCTTGTTAGCTTCATCTCTCACCACTTCTGGAGCAAAACGGGAGAGTGAGGTGAACTTGTTCTCATACTCCGCCACTGACATGTTCCCTTGAAAAAGATTATGAAACTGGTCTTGTAACTCCCATCTTTTGGAAAGCGGAACGTACTTTTCATAGAACAGTTCCTTGAACCTGTCCCAACTCATCTCGTCAATCTTATACTGGTTAGTGATCGACTTCCACCAAACCTTGGCATCCATAGTAAACTTGTAAGTTGCTAGGATGATCTTCAAGTGATCCTCTGTCACATCCATTGAGGTCAACTGAGTTTCGACTTGATCCATGTAGTTGTCGGCTACCATTGGATCCGCACCACCCTCAAACATAACCGGCATCAGCTGAGAAAACCCCTTAATGATCTTGAGACGCTTCTGAGCTGGAGTCTCCTCAACTCGAACTGTAGGTTGTGGTACCAACTGTAGCTGAGCAACAATCGTTGCCCTCACGACATTTTGCAACAAACGATTAAACTCCAGTGCCACAGAACCTTCACCCACTTCTACGGGTACGGGTGTTTCAACATTCTCTCTTCTTGGGGGAACAGCTCTTGGGGGAATCAAGTCCCTAAGAAGCATGTTCTCATCAACTGGCTCCGCCAGATTGGAGCTAAAGCTCTCACCAACATCACCCCTTGTTGGTCTAGGGCCAACTTCTCTAGGTTCCTCACGCCGTGACATCGTGCTATAAAACGAGAAAATGATTCAGAAACATGACACTAAGGTCCACTATGGACGACTCAACAAGAATTAATACCGTACAACACTTAGCATGCAAGACTATGTAAGAAACATTTTAACGTAAACAAGTAAGCAAGTAAGCACATAGGCAGTTAAGCATGCTCATTTAAATAAGATACCACGTAGCAAGTAGTCAAGTAAGCAACACAAACAACATTCCATGCGACTCTATGTAGGCCTCTACCCGTCGTCCTAAAGGTTTTCGAACCTTTGCTCTGATACCAAATTTGTAACGACCCTAGCTGATGCCAAGAATTTTACAAAAAATTCGGCATAACCTCCCCTAAAAATAGGCCTACCATACCCTGTTTAAATTCATTTTTAACCTATCATGGCTCAAATTCCGAATTCACGGCAACAGTATATGATCATACACAATCAAATAACACCGATAATTACTTTAACTAAAATTATCCTTCCCATTCATCAACAAGGTTACATGACAAAGTTTTGCAAAATATACATATATACCTTTATACTTTTAGTGCTTTGCAAAAATAATGGGAAATATACAAAAGACACAAAAGTAAGCTTCTAGTATCGCTCAAGCTTGAGGTGGGTTGTCGTCCACCGATTCTTTTCCAAGACCTGAAAAAAATGTATAAATAGTAGGGTGAGCTATATGCTCAGTAGGTGACACTTAAGACACAAATCTTGTGTCCTTGTGAATTCAAGCAAAGCATAGGCCAATGGGAGATAGGGATCATACAACGTAGGGGATCAAATACAACATACAAGTCAATTCCAAGTATAAACGATGCAATGCATGACACTCCCCATTTTCATTCTCAAAATCATCACTTTCAAACATTAATACAGCCCGCCCTTTGGTAACCCCGCCGCGACACGAAAGGAGGATTGGCTAATGTCCCTGACCCTTGGTAACCCCGCGGCGTCATTATAGGGCCCAACTAGCTCAACCACGCTAGGGCGACTCCCTAGTCCCCTCTAGG